TTTGGAAATAATTTTCATTTACTGTAACCCAATCATCCGGAAGATTTATATCTTTCCAACAAATCATTTTTGGAACTGAAATGTTAGTTTCATTAGTGCTACCTTGGATTAATAAGGTTTTATCTTTGGGACTATCAGTTAAAGCTTGAACATTTAAATTAGTTTTTATGCATTTGTAATAAATTTGATAAATTAATGCAATATTATGAACACTTTCTAATATATTTGTATATTCACCAGATAATTGTATATTTAATGTTAAAACCTTTAATATATGGGGATCCTGTAAACTTAAAGTAAAATCAGGAAAACAATTAAAATGCACTGGACCTTTATGAAGACCAGATTTTATCATTCCCATTACACTAGCATGATAGTTAATAAAACTAGCATCTCTTAAACATAAAAGGACAGAAGTATTTTTATCTTGTTGGGTTAATGAGTTTATTCCTACTTGGATTAATCCTAAATAGATAAAATTATGACCCGCTTTGAGATGTTTTCTGATTGACTTTTTAGATAATAATTGGCAAGTTTCCCATGATTTATTAAAGTATAAACTTGTTCAATTGTTTTAACTTGTAAATCAACATTAAAGGTGGATTGTAAAAAACTAGTTTTATAAATTTCCTTAGTTTTTACTTTAGGAATATTCCAGCTTAAATCAATTTTAACATCTTGATATTCATGTTCTTCTTCATTAATTAGTATATTCGTACCAGGGATAGGAGCTAGAGTTGTAGATCTAGAGCTAACTGAAGAATTACTTCGAAATAATCGACTCATTTTAATTCTATAAAATTAAATCCAATTTTCTAAAACTCGTTTTGTAACTTACCACGTTTTCACGTACAGTGTGTTCGCTCATTCCCTTTCCGGGAACCCCTATATCCTTCGACTGCCTAAACCTAAGGATTTACACTGGATTGGGACGAAAGGTGGATGGCTAGTGGCAAAGTGGAATACAAAGATAAGTTAAACAAGAATAGGGAGACTAGAGTTAATTTAAATAGAGTGGAAATGAAAAGAATATAAACCGAAAAGATAACTTAATAAGAAACTTAACATACTACCAACTTGGCTCTGATACCAAATATGTAAGCATCCAAAAAAACATGAAGATAATCTTAGATATGATCACTCTTCTTGATGCTCCTATGAGAACAGGCAAAGTTATGTTATAGACTCATTGACAAACACACTAGAGGCAGAGAACTGCCAGTATATATGGGAGAGAAACAATGAACCTGACAATATAACACTGACCATTAAAACAATGGCTTTTCAAAAGGCTGCTAATATTATTGCCTTCATGTTTGCATTGACAGTGTTGGCAGTCGCAATAGCAGAAGTGTGGTCACCTGCCCCAGCCCCGTCACCTGATGACTCGGGGGCAATAAGTGGACTTGCTCCATTTCAATTAGTAAAGATTGGATTTGTGGGTGTCGTCATTTTGTTCTTTGTCCTCAAAGGGTTGGCTTGAGTTTCTGAACCATTGTTTTGATTGTCTCATTGTGTGCTTTGGTATTTTGTGCACTAAAATAGTATTCTGGTTGCAATTTAAGTTCTATTAATAATGTGTAATCATATGTCATGCATAAGCTCTTTTAAACCTTGCTCGATCTGTTTCTTTATTGCAATAATATAATTGAACAATAAAATCACCCTTATTACAAATGAACAAACTTATTGCAAATCGGTGTTTTTTTTTTTTTTTTTTTGTGTTGTTGGAGGTGGGTTGCTCGATTTGTTTCTTTATTGCAATAATATAATTGAACAATAAAATCATCATTATTGCAAATGAACAAACTTATTGCAAATCAGTGGTTTTTTTCTTTTTTTACTCTGTGTGTGTGTTGTTGTGGGGGGTGGGGTGTAAATTCCCACGTATGAAATGAGATATGTTATCTATTCCCTATCTTTTGCATTTACTTCTTTCTCTGTTCTTCATTCTCTCTCTTACATCCTATCTACCATCGTTGGAAAATGGTGTAGCAATTAACTTATAACTTTTTTTTTTAATATTAAGGCCTCGTTTGGGAACAGGCTACTTTAGTAACTTTTTGGCTATTTGGCTAAAATGTGATGTAAAAAAAACTAGTATGTTTGGGATGACTTTTTGGCTTTTTACGAAAAGATGTGCAAAAAGTAGAGAGAAAAGGGAATCTTTGACTTTTTGGTATGAGTTGTTGGCTTTTTGGCTTTTTTAGTAACTTTTTGGCTTTTTGGCTAAAATAGCCTCTTGCCAAACGAGGCCTAAAAATACAAAAACAATTGGGATTTTTTTTTAGGGTCCTTGGCATTAAGACTTTATAGTATAAAAGACATCTAATATTTTCATAATGTCTAAAGTCCCTCAATTTGATTTAGAGAAATTCTGTCTAGAGAAATTCTGTCCAGAGAAATTTTCTGTTTCTCTCCAGAGAAATTTCGTGGCCGAGTATTTCAAGCTTTCTCTCAAAGTAAACTCTCCAGATCAATGGCAATATGAAGAAGCACACACCCTTTAGCAAAGAAGATCTGAAACTCTATGTCCTTAACAAATGCCATCATGAACAGAGAAAATTCAAAATCTTTTACTAGAGAAAATTCAAACTAGAGAAAAATCAAAGAAAATTGAAACCAGAGAAAATTCAAGAGTAATCTAGAGAAAATTACCAAATCCAGAGAAAATTGCCAAATCTAGAGAAAATTCAAGAGTAATCTAGAGAAAAATCAAGAGTAATCCAGAGAAAATTGTCAAATTTAGATAAAATTCGATCCAAAGAAAATTGCCAAATTCAGAGAAAATTCAAGGATAATCTAAAGAAAAGTGCCCAAACCTAGAGAAATTTAACACTATCAACACTGTCATAAAAAGAAATTGTGGTTTAACTTGAGTTGAATAGTTCTTTAAGCATAAAAAGAAAATGTATTCACAAATAATAAGTTTAAAAAGAATAGAGTAACAACCGTGAATTAAGATAAGCATGATAATTGAATGTTCTACAAATATAGAAACATCATACACCAAATACATCAAAACTCAATCCCCCATAGATAAAAAAAAAAAACAGAAATCAATCTGATTCTAGTTCTGATTCTATCTCTGAGCATATAAAATGTACCTTGGAGACTTCTGAAGATAATCTATGAGGGTATGAAGAAAGATGCCCAAAAGAATCAATCATGCGAAACTGGAGAAGAGCTGAGACTCAAGACTGTTAAATTTGTGAAATTGGCAAAGAACTCCGGAACTGGAGAAGAGTGATTGTTTGAACCCAGATGAATCTCAGAAAGAGATCGAAGCTTCAGAAGAGAAAAATCAATGGGGCTTGAAAGATTACAATTGGACAGGCTCAAAACTCGTAGATTAGGTAGTGAAGATGAAATGGCCTGACACCAGTCACTCCCTTTGTCCGATATATTTCCGCCATCAAGACGAAGTTCTGTAAGGCCAGTAAGATTCCGAAGAAGCGTTGATAAATTTGGGTACTGAAGTTGCAGTGAAAGAGTTCCAGGGAAGAGTACAGAGAGATCAAGAGTAACCTACCTTGTTAACTGCGACAATTTAATTGGAATTTGCCCAGAAAAACCAGCGTTTGACAAGTTCAGATATGCCAGATTGGTGAGCTTGCCGAAACTGGATGGAATTGGTGCGAAGTTGAAGCTGTTGAAAGCCAAATTCAGGCTCGCAAGAAACTGGAGACTGAAAAGACTGCTAGACTGGTTGATTCCACCGTTGATTGACTCTCTGTTCAGATCGAGACCTGTAATATGACTGGCTTGATCGCAAGTGACACCCTTCCAACCACAACAATCGTTGCTTTGAGTCTGAGTCTAGGGCGGATGATTTTGAGAGTTGGGTATCGAAAAAGAGCAGCGAGGAGAGAGAGAGAAAAAGAGAGAAAAAAAGAGGAGGGTGAGGGTTTAAAGGGTGAGGGATATCAATTTTTCTGTAAGGACCTTAGATATCATAAAATAATATTGTAGATCTCTTTCATTACTAAAAATGAGAGAGATCTTAAACTAAATTTTCCAAAACAATTTATTTGTTACAACTTTTTGGTAACAAATTTATCTTATTTAAATCCACACTAAAAAGAAAAATATTCCCTCTACTTTTTAATACTCTGGCCCTTTGCAATGATAACATTTTAATACAAAAGTTTAAATATTTTCAATTCATACCAAAAAAATAAATTAAAATTTCTTTTATTTTTTAACACATTTTTCATCTTATATTATAATAAAAAAATTAAAAAATCATTTAAGAAAGTTACTCTCCAAAGCTCACAAATACAACAACAATTTGTGAAATAAGTTAAAAAAATGTTAGTTTGGGAAATATATTTTAGAATCAAATGAGTTTGGTAAAACACTCTTTAGATTCATCTATTCGTGCAAAAGATTGTTCTTGCCCTTCATTTTTACCTTTACAATTTGCAACTTGTAAGCTTAGAGAATTTTAAAAATTAGTTTAGGCCAGCTCGCAGAGGTTAAGACATCCTTTTGCTACTTCATTCTTGAATTGAAGCACCGCTGATTGTTCATTGCCGAGAGAATCACTTTTGTAATAATGGAGTGTTTTGTGTGATTTATTTTGACTACCTTATAAATTCTAGTTTTAAAAAAGTTATTTTAGTTTGTTTGGTTAAATTTATTTTGAACAGTTTTTTATTCTAACAACTTATTTTAACTGAAAAAAATTGATTTTGACTCCTTACTTTGATTATTAGCTTTTGTTATGTACATATTAATTTAAGGGTATACTCATATTTTTTTAAAAAAAGAAAAAAAAAACCCAAATAGACTATGAGTTATTGTTATTATGTTTTTATGAAAAATATAGACAATTAGTGAATAAAAAAAATAAATATTAATTTAAAAAATTATTTCACAATTTATTTAATAAACATTACTCAATAATTTAAATTTATAATTTAACAATTACACTGACAGATTAACAAATTTTAATTAAAATCATAATATATAATCTGTTTGTATTCTAAAAAGCTACAACCAAACGGGGCCAATTCATTTTTGAGCTGCCTTGTTGGGGGCTAGGTTTTGAACAGCCGAAGCTGCCCGCTAAAAGGTGTTGCATCGGATCACAGCAATTGAAGATCCGTTTTACCCTAATTTTCCAGAAAACTCCAGCGAATGTATGTTTGTATGTTTGTCTCGTATACGAGTTCATCAGCTGAGTTGAGTTGAGTTTGCGACCAGGACAAACATGGGAGGCGGAGATGGGATCTTGGGAGTCCGAGGCGGCGCTGCAGCCAGATCAGCAGCTTCTTCTTCTTCAACGGAAAGACGAAACAACAAGTGGTTGAAGAGAAGAGAGACATGGTTGGTTGTTCTTGGAGTTGTACTCCACGCTGTGTACATGCTCAGCATTTTTGACATTTACTTCAAGACCCCCATCGTCCATGGCATGGACCCTGTTCCTCCTCGCTTCTCTGCCCCCCCAGCCAAACGCCTTTTTCTTTTCGTTGGTATCTTCTATTCTAACCCACCCACCAACTGTTTGATGATTTGTCTCAATCGATTACTGCCCTTTTTTCTTTTATAGATAAGTTGCTTGCTATTAGTTTTCAATTCACTTTGTTGTTTATAGTGAGTGACCAACGAGGCAGACCCACTAGAACAATTTGCATGATTTGTTCTTCTATTTCCTGCAAGTAGTCTTTGGGCTTATGTGTCCTTACACTCTGTTTGGGAACCTATGAGAGAAAAAAAAAAAAGAAAATAAATGATTAATTAAGTTATAAGAGAAAAGAGAAGAAAAGACATGATTATGATTTCTCTCATTTTTGTTTGGATAAGGAATAAATAAAAAAAAAAGAAATGATTGTGATTTTTCTCATTCTTGTTTGGTTAAGAAATTATTTTATGTTATATTACTAAAATAACTTTTTTATATTTTCAATCATTTTATTTTTATAGGGACAAAATTGATATTATGAAAATAGTAGTTTCTTTTCTCTTCCAATCTCTCCACTTTTGGGAGAGATTGAAAATGAGGCTCATGTGAGAAATGAGTTTCTCTCTATTTCACTTCATTTCTTCCCATTTCTCTCTACTTAAGTTATCCAAACAAGTAATAGAAATACATATCTCTTCATTTCTTTTTTTTTTCTCTCCAAATCACTCAATCCAAACATAGCGTTAGTCTCTGTTACTAATTGTCACACCTGGTTTGAACTGTTGACATGTAATGTAAGGTTATTTCCAGCCCTTATACTCAAATTTTGAGTAAAAAGCTTTATTTGATATGAAGCATTCCAATGGACGAACTTAGATTTAAGCATAAATTTGAGTCAAAGCTTCAATAGTGGCATGGTTCTAAATTTGAAGACTACAAAATGGCCTTGAAATTTTTGAGTAAACATTTGAGTCTTCCTTGATTTGGGTTTAAAAAAATGGGAAAAACTTTATTTTGTATAAGTTTGAGTCAAGGAGTGGAGAGAGATTTTTGAGTAATTTTTACCCAAATTTAAATTTGATATAGGTTTAAGGGTTGGAAATGCCCTAACCTCTCATATACCTAGAATTTTATCCTTTTTTTGGTATGCGGAATCTGAGGACTTGTAACATCTTTGTTTGGGCATTATAATTGCAGCTGATGGTTTAAGGGCGGACAAATTTTTTGAACCCGATTCTGAAGGAAATTACAGAGCACCATTTTTGAGAAGTGTAATCAAAGGACAAGGCCGGTGGGGAGTATCTCATGCTCGTCCGCCAACGGAGTCAAGGCCTGGACATGTTTCTATAATTGCTGGTTTCTATGAGGATCCTAGTGCTGTTACAAAAGGTAGACTTTCCACTTTTTTATTTTTTTTATTAATCTCTGTGCCATGTTAGCAGAACCAGTTCAAGTGAATCATTTGTTATTAGTTTAAATAACTCACCGCCTGTGAAATGCATTTGTGCTAAGGTGTTTGCTCTGCACACTAAATTAAATCCATTATATGTTTTTAGGATGGAAGGCAAATCCGGTGGAGTTTGATTCTGTCTTTAACCGAAGCCGGCACACTTTTGCTTTTGGTAGCCCAGATATAGTTCCAATATTCTGCAGTGCCTTGCCACATAGCACCTGGAATTCATATCCTCATGAGTTCGAAGATTTTGCGACTGGTTTGGTTCAACCTCTGGACTCAAATTGTTTTCAAGATGAAAACTTATTATCTGTTATCATTGTTTAAGTTGGATGTGCCATAGGCCCAAGTTCTTTTGCTTCTTCTTTTAAAGCAAGGGATCCAGGAAACTTTCCAGAATACTCGCGTAAATCTAACCAAAATGTGTGCACCTGTACAAGTTGTAGTTATTCTTCTATTGCATGTTAATTTCTAGATTGAAACCCAATGCCAGTGTGAGTATCTTGTGCTTCTCTTAATTCAGTTCTGGTTGTGCCAAATTTGGCAAATATCATCTCACTTAGGTGTCAGCCATTTGTGGCTCCCTTTTCGGTGAACTTCTTGCTAATGCTTTGGCTATCCTTCCATGCATTTTACACTATCATTCTAATATCAAGTGTCAAGGGCTCCCATGGCAAGTATAGGATCTTTCTGTGGTACATGTAGTTTGTTTTACTGTTGCAATTGGTTTGGTATTGGAATTTGTATATTAGGTTTAATGGATATTCCTACCAGTGGGTGTGGCCTTCTTGCTGCATCCTCCCCACCTATCTTATAAAAAATACTACCAACTTTTGTACTCTCCTTGATACCAATTTCTGTCTTTTATAAGTTTTTCTTGAGCTAAAGCGACCGTGGACCTATGTAACTTGCATATTTTAAATGTATGATGTACCCATGTGTAACACTCAGCATTTGAGATACATCTTTGATATGTCAAGTTGGATATATATCCAACAAGCATGTTATTAATCAAGTTTACCATAAAACTATGTATAAAACTCTCATATTATACATGAAATGCTCAAGGGTACTTTATAACTAACATGTTAGTCTAGAAGATAAGAGAAGAATATTATGAAATATAAATATATTGTCATTTTCTAATATCCTTAGACATGAGATTTAGATGAATCCAATGCTTAGACACATACCCACACTCAACACCAATTCCTGAGTTCGTGTATGTAACATAGCAGTGGACTTACAATGCTATTATGAAGCTAGATCATACAAGTTTACATATTTTCCCTCTTAAATGAAAGACATGCTAAGGCCCTGTCTTAGTTTGCTTCAAAAAATAAACTAATAGTATTGTAGGTCATTACTTTTTGTTTTTCATGCTCAGTTCTTAATGCATGATCTATTGATCTTCTTAAGGTTTCGCTTCAATTCATCCTTTATTTATTCAGTAGTGTTCTTGCAGATGCTTCTTTTTTGGATGAGTGGTCATTTGATCAATTCCAGAGCCTCTTGAATAAGTCCAATGAAGACCCAAAATTGAAACAACTACTTCTACAAGATAATCTTGTTGTATTTCTACACCTACTTGGTTGTGATTCAAATGGTCATGCACATCGGCCCTATTCATCCATCTATCTTAATAATGTTAAGGTTGTTGATCATATTGCTGAACGTGTTTACAATCTTGTTGAAAATTATTTCAAGGACAACAGGACATCATATATTTTTACAGCTGATCATGGAATGAGCGATAAAGGTAGGAATCCTTTAAGCCTTTCATTAGTCAATGTGAATATATATACAATATCTATTTGTTAAGTATATGCAACCTTTGTTTTATGTAACAAATAGCTTTGCAAACTAGAAGGAATTGCTAGGGAACAAACTTGATTATTCTGACTGTTTACGTGTGAGCAAGGTTTTAAAAAGCGGCCGCAACCGTTATATAACGGTTGTGGTGGTTACCGCCACCTGTTACGGCCGCTTTTGCAGTGTGATTAAAATTTACAGGTGTGTCGGCCGTAGCGGCTGTTGTAGTGGTCGTAACGGTGCTGTAATGGCTTGTTACGCACCGTTACGTAACGGTTCCGAATTACTTTCGAAAAAACACACAAAAAAAAAGCTGAAATGAGAGAAGAGGGATAGAGAGAAGATGGAAGATAAATAATATGTTATTGTTTTGTTGAAACTGTAAGACCTATGCTATTCTATTCAGCTCACTCAACCATTTTGTTTGTGTGACATCTACATATTGTTTGAAAATAATAATAATAATAATAATAAGTGTGGTCATCATCTATTTGGCTTGGTTAAAATATTTATATATATATATATATATATTTGGACTCTTATTTATTCTCTTACTTTTGTCATTGTTTATCTTATATATAATAGTTAGTGATTGATTTTTTATATAATATAAAGTCATTAATTATTAAAATAAAATGTAAAAAACTCAGTTTATAGTGATTTAAAAATATGAAATATATTGGATCATACTTAAAAATTTATAAAAATTGATCAATATTTATTTTAAACCTAATAAATATGATCATGGAAAAAAAATATGCATATCGGTAAGTTTTTTTTAAATTGTACGAAAAATAAAAAAATTCACGGTTTCGGTTACCGCAACCGTTACGCTACGACCTTTACACCCCACAACCGCAACCGCACCACTGCCACCGCCACCGCCACCGTTACGGCGACCGCAATCGCTTTTCAGAACCTTGCGTGTGAGATTTAACAACTAATTAATTGATTATGTTTTTAGTCCATAGGAAAATCCCTTTTCTCTTCATAAAATTAGATATCAATTTGGATTAATAAATTAAATTTTTTGTAAAATATAAAATAAAAGAAAGAAGTAATGAAGCCCTAAGAGAAAGACCTGTGGCTGATTAGAGATGTAGGAAACCTACAATGTGAAGGGAATTGTGTGTGTGAACAAAAGGGAAAGTGTATGTTGTCTTTATCAATTGAAACTGGAACAGTTTAAGCAACCCGCATCTGGTTCATGTAGTTCACTGTCCAACCACACCAGTTTGAGTAAATTTAATAAAAGAAGCCAGTTTTCTCAACAAAATGGATTTGGGGTTTATTCTGAACTGGAATTCCAAGTGATTGATGGTCCAAGTGGACGAATCAGCTAGTTTAGTTCAGTTCAGTTCTCAAAACATTTTAGCTTGTTTAAAAAAATTTGGGCTAGGTGGACCTGGAGTCATAATGGACAAGATACCTATAGATGAAGAGATCAAAATGTCTGGCGGGTCCATCAACTTGGTTGATTGCCTTAATTAGTGTTGTTTTGAGTTACCCCTCTAAAAGGGAAAAAATTAATTTACATTCAAATAATTAATGTGTCTAAAATGTTTTTTTCCATTAGCAAACATGCATTAGATTATCTGCCACTTCATCAAACTGATGGCTACATTTGTAGTTAAAAATCATTGATTATTGAGCTTTGTACCTGTATGATGCCAAAGGTGGTGTTTTATCTCAACAAGATCGAGATATATATTTTTTGGTATTTATTGTAACTAAGATGCTGACTCTGCATTTTAATGATAGGAAGTCATGGAGATGGGCATAATTCAAACACTGATACTCCCCTTGTTGCTTGGGGAGCAGGTGTTAAACATCCCATGCCAATGTCCAGCAATAACCATTCTGATTGTGGTGTTCGCTTTATTGATGAACATATGCATGACATGCCAACACCTGCAGAATGGGGCCTTGATGGCGTAGAAAGAGTGGATGTTAACCAAGCTGATATTGCACCACTAATGGTTGAACAGTTTGTTATATCTCTGGAATTCTCTGTTTTAAGCCTCCCTATGTCCTTTGAAGCATCTTTTGAGATATAGTTTTCTAATACACTAATTGAATTTTCGGCAGTCAACTCTTCTTGGTCTGCCATGTCCTGTTAACTCTGTTGGAAATTTGCCCCTTGATTATATTAATTTAAATGAGGTGAGCTGTGCTGTTCCACCATTGGACTCTTGTATTTTTCGATTATGCCAAAGGATATCTGTGCTATGTTAAGAGTTTGAAATATACTTCTATTATTGAATTCTCCTTTGATGAATTCAACTGGTGCAAGTTGACATTGAATTGGTGCAAAACTGAGCAGGATTTTGTTTAATTTTGTGTCCAGGCAGAAGAAGTTGAAGCTGTGTTAGCTAATACAAAGCAGATCTTCAACCAGTTCCTTCGGAAGTCGTGTATCCCTTTATATTGGTTACCACTTTTCAAAAACACTTTTCAGAAAATTCTGCTTTCTTATTTTCTGTGTTTTTTTGTTTTTACTGAATTTGTTTAATATTTTGAACATTTTTTTTAATTTTTAGACATGCCTAACATAAATATACCTAAAAAGTAAAAATTTTGAAAAAAACCTTTTAAAAATTCACTAAATACCAAATATATAGAAAGAAATACGAGAATTCAGTACATTTTTTGTATTTTTATGTATTTATTAATTTTTAAAAATATTTTTTCGCAAATTTTTTACTTTTTAGATACATCTAAGTAAGGTGCATCTAAAAAAGTAAAAAAAATGTTTAAAATTTTAAAAATATTCACTAAAAACAAAAAAACACGAAAATCAAAAAACTCAATTTTCAAAAAACTTAACTCAAAAAACTCAAACCAAACATACTGATTACTTTCTTGTAGTGCATTACATTTCTTTAGATTTTTTCCAGGTTAATATTTTCAATGCCAACTATAAATATTTTTTCTTTTCAAAACTAGAAACAAGAAGTTATCTAATAACTTGATGTTGCTTTCTGAATTGGAAAATCACAATCATTTCTGCTTCCTGATTTCAGTCAGTGCACATTTTTGTATTTGTCGTTTGATATTCTCTGCCATTTATTACTTTGCTAACTGTTTACCTAGCATGTGATCTCTTTTATTTGTTATATTTGTTTACAGTTTATGTGTTGAACAAATTATTTTGATTATCCTTTTTTGTACATCTAAGGTAAAATGGAATGAGTTTGCATTTTGCACCAGTTTTCTTGACAATACTCAGTATTAAAGCAGTCAAATTCATTAAATTTCAAGCCGTTCAAACCACTTGTTCATTATTCTTCAATTTTGGATCAAATCGAACATTTGATATCTTTTAGAGACTATGAAGCTGCAATGAAGCTGTCGCAAAACCTCAGGAGCCTGGCACTGAAAGGACTAAACTATTTTCAGACTTATGATTGGTTTATGCTGATGACTGTAGTTACTCTTGGATACATTGGTTGGATGATCTATCTTATTCTTCATGTGCTGCAATCCTATACTTCTTTGCCGGGAAAATTTTCTAGAAAGGAGCAAGCGCTTTATCTGAGAAACAATAGTGGAACGGTAATCTTTTATCTTATATCTTTAGTTTTAAAGATGAATGTGTCACAATATTGGTTGTACTTACTTTTGCAATATCCATCACCATACAAGTGAAGTCTAGACTCACTTGAGACTTCTTTGGCTCCATTAAATACTTAGTTTTTCTGGATAAGTGGCTCAATTAAAAACTTCTGTAGCTTTCATGAGTTTCTTTTCATTCCTTCAATTTTGTAATTTCATCATTTAAACTTTTTATTTTCTTAATTTTGTCTTTTTCTAACTATTTTCTTCTCTACGAAAGGTGTATCTGTGTGGATGTCTATTCATGGGATCCATTTGTATCCTACTGCTTTTGGAGCACTCTCCTCCTCTGTATCATGTATACGCTACGATGACAGTATTCCTCTGGACTAAAATATTTAGTGAATATCAGTTTCTAAAAGCGATATGGAGAGATTTACGCAGAAGACAATATAGTTACATCATTGCACTTGTAGTCACCTGTGCCGTGTCAGTAGTTATTCTTGAATTCCTGGTATGCTTCTTAACATAACTATAAATTGTTCCCCTCCCAAACTGACTGTCGGAAATTGATATTCTTGAAGTCTGAAGTGCACTTTTTGTTGTTTTTATCTGGTATGTAATGCAGGTGCATAGCTTCACTGAGAGGAAGCTCTATACTTGGTGTTTCTTGATTGTTGGGATCACTGCTTCAATTCATCTTTATTACTTAATTCCATGGAAATCTGGGATACCAATATTTGTATGGTCTTCATGCTGGTTCTTGTCTATTTTTACTTTGATGCCTGCAGAAATTCCTGATAATACTCTGCTAGTGTAAGTCGCTTTCATTGAATTCACCTATGTGCTTTCATTATTATGAATTCTGTTGGAGTGTTTTCCTGATTATGCACTCTTGAAGTATTCAGTTTTAGGGTGATATGCACTATCAAATTTAGACTGTGAAATGAGCCAACTAGCATGTGAACAGCTCAAGCCTGACTTGCTGAAAGCTCTTGTGATCCTTCATGAAGTAATTTGAGTGGAGCTGGAGCCTAAGCTGCATGTTTGTTCAATAGTTGAGCTGAGCTCTAGAGGGAGTATCCCCTGCTTGGTTGGGCTCAATAATGGTGTAGCACTTGAAATTTTGATTTCAGGACTGCAACCTCAGATAATGTAAATGTGCCTCAAGGATTGGATTTAGCTAAAGAGTGATCTAGCCAAAAAAATTACTTCCTAAAGATGACTTGTTGAAACTCAATCGCCACATTTTAGCTGTGTGGTATGTTTGAGATAGTAAATCGGTTTCTGTCTGTCTAAATTGATCTTCAGGCAATTGATTATTTCGATTATGTGATAAATGGTTGTTCTCAACACCACCTTTGATTTTTTTTAATAATGGTGTTCCATCAAGTCCTATCTTACCATCTTGTGGTTTCAAGATTTAATTTATGATGTGGTTTCTTGGCGAATTTTGAAATCATAAATGCAGTGAGTTTTAACTCACAAGTCTATCGTGAGGTATGTGCTTTTACAATTATTTTGTCCACAGAGTTGCAAGTGGAGCTATGATTATTGCTATTGGAGGAGTTGCAACCTATCTGGATCTGCATGCTGAAGCAAACAAGTATTGGCATGGTCTCCTTAATCATGATTTGAAGAAACCCAAGTTCCCCATGCTCTTCTCCTTGCAGGTCTTTCATATGTTTTAACTCTTGTTGGAAGTGGAAGTTTCAAGATTTTGCTTATGAATTGATCTAAACATTACTCTTCTTTTCTTTCTTTCTTTCTTTTTTTTCCTACAATTAACTCAGGCTCTCTTGGTTGGGTTATCATCCGTAATGGTGCCACTATCAACATCTCACAGAACACAAAAGCAAGAGCTTCTTGTGTTACACCAATTGATAAACTGGTCCACTGCTGGTATACGTTTGACTTTTTCCTCTTTGAACTCATTTTCCTTGTTTTTCTCTTCTTTATTATTATTATTATTACCAATTGTTAGTTGATATTTTATCTGTTACTAATGTTTGCTGCATATATATATATACACTTACTTTTTTGGGATTTTTATGAGAGTTAAGACTGTTATTTTAAATGAATAATTGACATTTCTTAAGAGTTTCTATTCTAAAAATATCACCTCAAACTTGAAACCTATAATTGCTGGTTATAGTCCATAGATCAGTTGGTAGGTTTAAATGCATGGTTGGGGGCTTACCCGAGTACTTATTATGATGCATTTTCAATTTTGAAAGATTTCTTACTGCATGTCTATTTCAATTATGCATGTTATTTGTGTTAAATTATCGGTATGCTTTGTGGTTTATTTTATTTTATTTATTTATTTATTTGTAGGTTTCTCGATTGTTCTCCCACTGTTTTCGGCAACTAGCCTCTTGTCCCGACTGACTTCAATATTTCTTGGTTTTGCACCCACGTTCTTACTTCTATCAATTGGGTATCTCTCCCTTGCAAATTACTCTCATGGTATAATACCATTGAACAGTTATGTGGATGGCAGAATATTAAGATGCATTTAACTTAGATATTCCTTTTGGTGAAACCTGTGCAGATATGAAGCTGTTTTCTATGCTGCACTTGGTCTTGCACTCATGGCATGGATATTGTATGAAAACACACTTCTCTATAGAAGCAAGATGAAAACATCTTCAACTTCAATTAAATCTGTGGAGGATAGCATCATTCTTGAAAATGATGTTAGAGGCTTGCAATTGTCCGACATGAGGATTCCGTTAACCTTTGTAAGTTACATTGAGCCATTAAGAATAATATGGACCACCATATTTCATGGTGGTGCAATCATTTGTTTCAAAACAAGGTACATAGCTTAATGTCTCATTTGAGGGATGGCTATTATTTTTTAATTGGCAAAGATAATAGCTTTCTCTATTGAGATGCCATGCACAATTTTAATGGCTGTTCTAATTCAAGGGGGCATCTAGACATTCTTTGAGATTAGAAACCTTTCAAAAATCCAAATGGTCATGACGTCAACATTGCTCTAATGTGTTTTGCGTTTTTAGATGGTCTTATTTAATGTTGCATTTTTTGGAACGGGTAACTTCGCGAGTATTGCAAGCTTTGAGATTTCATCTGTATATCGGTTCATAACCATCTTTAGTGTAAGTAAAAGGTTGAATTTCTTTATATAGTTTCCAGTTTCCTCTAGAATATTTGGCTTTGAGCTAATATGATATTCTTTTGGATTGCAGCCATTTCTGATGGCAGCCCTACTTATATTCAAATTATTTATACCATTCATGCTTGTCATGTAAGTATATCTATCGCATTCATTATTTTATTGCTAGTAATGGTCTCAATGCACTAAGATCCACTCTTCCATTCAAACTCAATTTTGACTCAAAAAGCTTGTTGAGAAGGTACTGATGAATTTTTTCATCAGTACATGATCAAATTCTGATGAATAACTTACAATTGGTTTTAAGTTCTTAGAGCTTTCATGGCAAAATTATGGTCACAAAGACAGTATGCTTCTAGCTTATTCCTATTTTTATAGAAACCATCAAGATATATTTGTATTTCACTTGAAGATAAAAATAACATTTGTGCAATCTGCAATAATATTGAGTTCTTTTTCTGCTTCTGCATTGTGGTTTTGTATTTGTTCTAAATGTAGCCGACTCCATTTGATGGGACTAAGGCTTGGTTTGGTTTACTTGTTCTAAATGTGGATGCAGATGTACGTTTAGTGCTCTGACAAAGTTAATTCGAGTTTCACGGTTGGGATGCTATTTTCTCGTTATATTATGTTCAGACGTAATGACGATCCACTTCTTCTTCCTGGTATGGGCCATGATAGTCTTTTAGTAGCATTCTTTCTCAATTAAATATATCACTGTTGATGGACTTCCATCTGGTTATCTCATTAAGGATGTTGTGATTGCTTTTTCTATTTATTGTTATATAAATGGACTTACCATAATATAGCCTTGACTTGTTCTTATTTTACACCTCTTCGTTATATTTCTAATTTGGATTGATCACTCTAGGGATGCTATCCATAATTTTCCCCAGATGACTTGGCCAAATCACTCCCCATAATTTTTACAAGAATTGTCTCCAAAGCCATAGAATTTCTCAATTCTAACAAAAGGTACTTACTAGATTTAAGTACAGTTGATCATGTCCAGACTAATACCAATCTCAGCCGTTTCATGAATAAAATGTGACCAGTTAACCAACAAAACTAGTTACAAATAATATCTTCTTGTGGCATCGAAACGTATAAATGTTGACTTATCAGGCTAACATTGAACTTAGTAAAATAAATAGCTGAATAATTGAAAAATGAGATTATTGTGGGATACACCGCATTGAATGCTGAGATTACGCAATGTGGAATAAACAAAATAAAATAAAATAAAATAAACTACTGCATATAGTAAGGCCAAGTTTGGCAAGTTGCCAAAAAGTCAAAAAGTTACGCAAAAAGTTGAAAAGTTATCACTATTCACCAAAAGTAAAAAATTACGGCTGCACAACTCTCAATCTTGATTTTCCCCTACACACTAATTTGTACAATTTTTTAATATACATTTTTCTATAAAAAGTCAAAAAGTTAACTCAAACATCTATATTTTTTTCCTCAATTTTTTAGTCCAAAAAGACAAAAAGTGCACTTATTTAGGACACCTCAAACAACCCTTAAATTATCCATTTCTAATAACCCTAACAATTCTTCAGCACCTTGCTGCTTCAGTTCTTGAACTCTAACCTAGTCTCATGAGAAGAGCTCATTAATATTCTGCATGCACTTGGTTGAAATTTCTTATAATATATTTAGTTAATCTCTCTTTTATCTGTAATTTTTTTGTTGACAAGTGTACTTGTCCCTTTATGTTTGTCATCTTGATTGATGTTCTGATGGTTAACAGGTTAGAACTATTGGAAGCTGGATGGAAATCGGTAACAGCATCAGCCATTTTGGAATCGTGAGTGCCCAAGTAGTGTTCGTCCTATTGCTTTTTGCCCTGACAAATATATACACGAAAGATATCCAAACTACATCAGCTCAACAATTTTCTCGGAAAGCCATGTAACTCAATAATATTGATTTGAAATATGATATTTTGGATTCTTCCAAAGGTGAGTTTTTTTACTGTCATGGCGGCTTCTTGGGTATTAGATCAACTTCTTGGTTTCACTTTTGTTGTTTGTGTGCCTTGCAATTCTTCAAATTGCTGTGTATAAGGACTTTATTTTAGGGATGGGATATTTCAGGTATTCCCCAATCACATCATTTTAGTGTGGTTGCCTAGCCACACTCGTCATGAATCAGGATATCATTCTTCATTAGGATTTCAGTTTTTCTTTGGAAAATTGAGTTATAAACTGTGAATGTTGTGAATAGAAATGGTCTTAATTTATATATATATATATATATATAAATCACAACTGCTTGATGGTTTATTTGCCGTGTCAAGTTTAATCATTCGGAACCTTAGATGTGTTTTATTATTTGTTTTCATTTTCTACCAAATATTTTTGAAAACAGGAATGTTAACTCTATTAAGACGTCAAAGTAACCATTTTGGCGTTAATGGTTCAAGAGAAATTTGACTTCACCACCCTCTTAACTGGTTGCTCGGAAGTCCAATTTGTTCAGACTTGACAAAAATTGTATTTTGTTCACATTTTCTTTAAATATGTCAAAAAAAAAAGGTTGCTTCGTAATATTTTCCTTGCAATGATCCTGTTGCCTTCTTGTGTAGGTTGTGGCTTGTTACTGTGGACCCAAACAAATAATACTACTAATAATTTAGAATGATAAATCAGCATCAGACTTTTTTTCTTTTTCCTTTTCTGAGAAAGAGGATCATACTTTAAAACAAATAAAAATAAAATTCACAATCACAGCTCACACAGACACAAGGTCAAGTCTTTCATTGACTTATAAGGCGGGGTCACAGGTGCGCTTGCTTGGCAGGTCAAACAATACCTAATAAAACTTGTTTGTTGGTGTTTTGAGGGGAGAAGGTACGGGGTTTTGCCCGGCTCTCCCTTCTTGGTTTTTCTTTTTTTTTTTCTGTTGTCATTGTTTTGGTGATAATGTATTTCAGAATAATTTTTTGGGTTAAAATTGTTTTACTAAAACCGTTCTCGAATTTTTTTTTTTTTTATTTTCTTTTATCTTTAAGAATTGAAGTGAGAATAGACTCCTGCTCCAACAAAGATATAACTTTTTTTTTAAAAAAAAGCCTAGTGAGTAAGTAGTGTGTGTAATTCACCTTAGTACTAATCAGTATGTTTTGTTTTAGTTTTCTAAATTCAATTTTTTAAAATTTGAGTTTTTTTTTTTGTTTTTTCGTATTTTTTTATTTTTAGTGAATATTTTTTCAAAGGAAAATTTACCCATAAGTCCTAGTTTTTGAAAAGTTAAACCATTTAGTTCTAAAAGTTTTTTTATGCTCCATTTAGTCTCATTTGCACATCAATCTAATGTTTGAAACATTAATCTGATGTTCGAAATCTAATGTTCGAAACATTAATCTGATGTTCGAAATCTAATGTTCGAAACATTAATCTAATGTTCGAAACATTAATCTGACGTATCTAAATAGTAAAATATTTGTAAAAAAATATTTTAAAAAATTAATAAATACACAAAAATATTAAAAAAAATGTATTGAATATTTGTATTTTTTGGTATTTAGTGAATTTTTTAAAGATTTTTTTCACAAATATTATACTTTTTAATTGTATTTATATTAAGTGTGTTTAAAAATTTTTAAAAAAAACTCAAAATATTAAAAAAAATTCATTCAAAATATTAAAATACGAAAAATTAAAAAAAAAAAATTTCTGAAAACTAGAATCAAACAAATAATTTTAGGGAGACAAATCACCATCATACATGAAAAACGAAATAAATAAATAAATAAATCATCATAAACAGCGACTAGGCCAAAGTCTTCCATGAATTTTTCCATGTTCACATATCAGGCTAACCTCAGGGTGATGGACTCAAAGATGAGAACCAAGAAGTTTCCTTCTGGAGAAAAAGCAAAGACTCACATATCCGTGAAAAAACAAGTCTCCATATTAAGCAGCACACCAAAAAACTATAAAAATAAATAAATAAATGGAATTGATACACCAGTCTATGTAGCTTGCTGTGTTTTCCAGCAATCTCCAAGCAAAAGCAGAGAAGACGAACCAAGCCAGCACCGCCATGTATGTCTCTGATAAAAAAAAAAAAATATATCTCAATTCTTTTGATTTCTCTACGCAGCTACAAACTACAGGAGGATGATTGAACCACTTGACATCAGTGGAGAAGAATTGGGAAATTTGGTGCTCAGCTCTGATCTCCTCCATTATTCATGGGCTGCAATTTTGGAAGCCTATAAGGACACCACTGGCACTGCCAATCCAAATGACCCAACAACCTTCCCAATCTCCATTAAATACAGAGTTGATAGACAACAATCACCACATGGTACTACTATTGTTGCTTTTGTTTCTTCCCCCACTTGTACCGCACAGCATTTCCAAAGGGATGGTAGAGATTTAGTTTCATCCACAACTCTTTTTGACTTTGTTAGCACCAAAGTCAACCCTTCCTTCTCCATTCACAGAGCTGCACTTGAACTTTTTGCTTCTCATCACAATGGCCTCTCTGACCTGAAAAAGCAGGTACTTCTCTCTCTCTCTCTCTCTCCCCGCTGAATACACCTCTTCAGAAGCATAAATGAGATAGGTGGGTTGGATATATCATTGTGGTTCTTCACAAGGGTGTGTCTGTGTGTGTACATGTTGAATTTGATCACTGGCATACTTGTTAAATGCTAAAGCACAAACTAGCTCTGTGCACTTGCTTGCTTGTCAAATTTGAAGTAGTCTTATCATTACTTATTGAATCCAACATTGTTGACTCTTCCACTAAGTATGATTTTGGCTTCACAGAGCTTTAAAATGAATAAATCAGTAACTGATTTGGTCTTGTATGTGTTTTATTGCAGTGCTGCAATATCAGTCCATTGATTGTCACTGGACACTCAATAGGGGGATCCATTGCCTCACTCTTCACCTTATGGCTGCTCGAAAGCTTGTCCCCAAAGGATGCATCCAAACACCCTCTATGCATCACTTTTGGTTCACCCCTTATCGGTGACAATGGCTTCCAACAAGCTATATCAGAACGCCCAATCTGGAATTCTAGCTTTCTGCACGTAGCTTCTAATCAAGATCCAATCCCCAAACTCTTCGCCTCACCACATGATGTCCTCAATATTGAGCCTACTTCTCATGCTAGTGTTTACAAGCCATTTGGCACATTTCTTTTGTGTTCAGAATCGGGTTGTGCCTGTTTTGAGGAACCTGAATCGGTTTTGGACTTGATGGTGGCAATCAGCTCAGATGGTGGTCCTAATGAAGGTCTGCAGATTATTGATTATGGACATGTTTTGAAAAGACTCAAGCATGGAGCAATCTATCAGGGAATTTCAAAGCTCGGTATATGGAATGGCAGTCCTCTTCGGACTGGAATCATCATACAGATAGAAGCAATTAAAGTTGGGAGAACACAAGTAAGTTCATTCTTAATCTATGTGATTCATAATTCCTTCCTTAAGCTAGGAGAGATGAGAAGAAATGTCACCAAGACATAGTATAGAGATATCAAAACAATGTCATTCTTTTTACAAATTAGGAGTCAATGACCTAGTGTCAGCAAGGTTGAAAAAATCAGGAATTAGCAATGCCTACTGATGATATTCGGATTTGTATGGTCTTGACTTGATCCGAAGAACTTGCAAGAGAAGAGGTCAGTCTTGGCTGGGCACCTGTGTGGTGCCAGCCAAAGATCCTCCGATGTCTAAGTTGGTATAATAAACTTGGAGAGAGGTATTGAAAGGAGTGGCCTAGGGTTTCAACTATTGCATATATACCTTATGTCTTTCTCCTTCGGCCTTTTTTAGAGTCTCTGTTCTGTATGAATTTTCTGTTTGCTTATCATTACTCTTTTGACTATCTTGGCAGCAAAGACATGAGAATGGTGACATCAATTCCCTGGTCACAAAAGTTGAAAAAAGAGCAGAGGATCTTGTAGCCCGCAGAAGGAATGTTTTTGACCCCAAGAAGAAACTAAATGACATGAAAATAAATATGATATACCTTGAATGGTACAAGAAGGTCTCAGAGTCTCGTGGAGGCTACTATGATGCTTTTAGAAATATCCCTTCCAAAAATAGAGAAGAGATTGTTAAGCGAAAGAACATCCTCACACAGTACTGGGCTATAAGGGTCAAAGAAGCGGAGAAAATGCCCCAAAAGGAGGGGACTTTCCTTCGCACTGGATTTCTCTACGCAGCTACAAACTACAGGAGGATGATTGAACCACTTGACATAGCCGAGTTCTACAGAAAGGATAAGAAAGACTATTTAGCAGAAAGATCTGCACATTACAAGCTGTTGGAACAATGGGTGAAAGATGACAAACAAGAAGGGCGTCAAAGTAATGCAAATGAGAGAAAGAGTGCTTGTAGTCTCACCGAGGATTCTTGCTTTTGGGTACATGTCGAGGAGGCTATTGTTTTGTGTAATTCACTGAAGGATGGAGGAACCAGTCCAGAAGACAAAGTATCATTGATGGAGAATTTGGTTAAGTTTGAAAACTATGTAATGGATTTGATAAAGAACTATGCAGTGTCAACTGAGATTTTCTTCAATCAAAGCAGCTTTATGAAATGGTGGGCAGATTATGAGAATATTACAGGTAATTCATCTCATTCATCACTTACTGATTTCATGAGGAATCGTAAATACAATCAGTATGTTTAGGTTTATCCTTGGCTTTTAATTTACACGGCTATGCTTGTTTGAACTCACTGTTAAATTTACTTTCGGATTTATGATGATATGTACAAACTTACACTATACTTAAGAGGCAATTTCCTATTAATTTTGCATAATTTTGTTGAATGATGTTTTCTGTATATCTTTTTTGTGAAAGAAATCACTTTTATTTTCTTCTTTTTTCATTTTTGGCTACAAATTATCTTCATTTCTAATCATGTGCATTCAACATTAAGAAATGTAGATAAACAAATAGATTTTTGTCTGTCTTAATCTGACCATTACGTTACGTAACAAGAAGCTTTCAAACTCAGCCTAAATAGTTTATGGATCTTGTTAACATGTGTCCTTAGGGCATATGTTAAGAATATAATTAATGAGCTTAAACTACCTCCACTTATATGGGAAATGTAAAATACAAATAGAAATAAATATGGTAATTTTTAAAAACTAGATATATTTTTACATAGACAAAAATGCCCTCACTTTTGGAATATTGAAATTCACTTATTTATAAAAATATAAAAAATAAAGGGAAAATTAGTCTAAGGTCCCTCTCCTATTTTTAGTAATGAAAGAGATGCATAATATTATTTTATGATGGCTAAGGTCCTTCAGATAAATTTGATATATCTCACACCTTCAAACCCTCATCCCCCCTCTCTTTCTCTCTTCGTTGCTCTTTTTTCTCTCTCTCGTCGATCCAGCTCGCCAGCCACTCTCACTTCATCGAAGACATCGTCCTCTCTTCCAACGGCCAGTTCGCTCTCTCCGGCAGCTGGGACTCCAAGCTTTGCCTCTCGGACCTCTCCACTGGCATCACTGCTAGTCACTTTGTCGGCTACTCCAAAGACGTCCTCTTCGTCACTTTCTCCTTCGATAATCGCCAACATGTTGGAATGATAAACTTGGTTCTGAGCACTACTCAATGTTGAAATGGTCGTCGCTAGCGTTGAAATAGTTGGATGATGATGCTTAGACAGAAGGTTGAGTTCCCAAAGAACTGAAGCTAGGGCACTGCTAAGATTTGGGTCTGAGGCATAAGGTTGATACTTCTGCAAGTAATTAAATTAGTCATTAGTAAAAGGTCTGGGAAATTAAAATGAAGAGTTCACCAGTTCAATAGAAGGTTAACTACATAACAAGAATAGAACAAGTATATGATCAAAAGTTTTGGGGAATACACTCACTACATGTATAAATTATGTATATACAAGTATGATTATATATATATATACACTTGTATGTGTGTGTGTATAAATTGATGTAGTGTATGATTATATATTTTGATAGGTATATATCTTTGGTTGTTTAAATTTCTCTTATGAACCAAACCAAAGAATTTCTCTGGACCAATAGAGAGAAAATTCAATTCAAACCAAAGAATTTCTCTGGACCAACACAGAGAAAATTCAGTCCAAACTAGAGAATTTCTCTGGACCAACACAGAGAAAATTCAGTCCAAACCAGAGAATTTCTCTGGACCAACCCAGAGAAAATTCAGACAAACCCAGAGAAAATTCAGTACCAACCTAGAGAAAATTCAGTTTAAACCAGAGAATTTTTCTGGACCAACCCAGAGAAAATTCAGTTCAAACCAAAGAAAATTCAATCTAAACCAAAGAATTTCTCTGGATCATGTAAACAAACCCAGAAGTCTCTGAAGATTTTTTTGGGTGGATAAAACTCTGAAGATCCGTAGTGTTTAATCCCAATTGCTTTGATTTCACAGTTGGATAAAACTCTGAAGATCCGTAGTGTTTAATCCCAATTGCTTTGATTTCACAGTGCAAAAGCCCCTCTCATGTTTGGGTTTCTCTCTTTCTCTGATCAAAACAGACATCTGGTTCTTGGGTTGTTGCCAACAGTTGCTGAAATCATTACTTGTTTTATGCTAAACCCTCCCAATTCGTTTATGAATGTTATAGTGCAATTCCTAATCACCTATTTTGGTGATCTTGCTATTGTTGTTTGATTTATTTATGACCCAATTCTATAGCTTGCTTGGTGTTATCATTTGATGCTTTTTTGTTCAAGAGAACCTTCTCTGGAGCGTTTGATCATCTTGAATCTTAGAGGTTGTATATTCTCTTTTATATGATTTACTTATAGTAAATTTATTAGTATTTTGCAACATTGAATTGATTATACATTTCTAGTTACTTGAATTTTCCTAGTTTTTGTACCCAAGCTGGGGTTCAATACCATACTTCAAGTTCTATTCCAAGAAACCTATTTCGTACCACTTGAATTTACCATATTCTCAGCAACCTTCTGAAAAATTTAACAACACCATTTGAAATTCTCTCATCATGCTTTGAAACCCTTTTTGAACGTCCTATTTCATTAATTGGAAATCATTTTTGTTGATTACTCTGATCTGCCATTCACTTAAAACCCATGCCTTTTTGTTTGCGTTGATATTCTCTGTAAATATGCATCCAAATCACTGAAGCAATCAAACTACAAACAACACAAGTGAATTTCTGTGGTTGGCAGGGATTTTCTCTAAGGTTGAGTAAATTTCTCTGGGGTAGAGAGGGGAATTTCTCTGAGTTCTGGTGAGATTTTCTCTATAATGTGTCCAGAGAAATTCTCTGAATCGAATTTTCTCTGGATCAATATTGAGGGACCTTAGACATTATGAAAATATTTAGTGTCTTTTATGCTATAAATTCTTAATACTAGGGACCTTAAAAAAAAATCTCCAAAAATAAAATAGTAGTACCCTCTTGAATAAAAAATTAAAAACATTATAAAAAAATTATAAATCACATAAAATAATAGTATTTTTTTATTTGGAAGCTCATTTAAGTTGAAACAATTCGTTCAAATGGATTAATGAATTTCACTTACAATTAGATATCCACCCAATAATACAATATTAGAACAACCCCCCCTCCCAAACCCCCAAAAACAAAAAAAAAAAATCATTGATGTTATAATATTACAACAAAAAATAAAAACAAAATTCATTTCAATTGATCAAAAAAAATAATGAACCAATAAATAAAAATACTTTATTTAAATTTTAAAAATATATATAATTATAACAAAAATAAAATAATAGAATGAAGTGCAATTGAGGAAAATACAATGAGAGTATTTTGGTCTTCAAAAAAAAAAACTCTCTAGTCTTAATTGCTTTACAAACTTTTAGTACTTTCTTTTTAGTTTCAATATAAATAGAACTAATTGCACTTATTTAATGTATTTCTTAATATATATGTTAACAAAAAGCCGAAGTTTATACGGATATCTATTTAATTAAATCTCTGACCTATTTTAAAATTATTTCATTTATTTAACTTATTAGCAATTTTTTCAATATTAATTAATGTTGAAAAATTGACTACATCTATCTATCGATAGAGTCATTACTACTACCTTAAAGAGAGATGTTCCTGTCAATGGAGGAGAGGACATGAGCTGTTAAACTGTTATAATAATGTAGATTTTTAAGCAGTAATATACATACAGCAACATCGTGGGACCTAATATCACATGCCCATTATTAAATGGTTTCAAAATGGGCCAAATCCTCTGTTTCCTCAAAAGTTCTTTTGTCTCCTTCTTTCAATCTAAATTTTGAAACAACTAAGTGCAGTTTCTTTTCGATGTATCAAAAGAAAAAAAATAATAATAATAATATAATTCAGTCAAGGGAACAACAAAAATAAAATCCAACACAAAAAAAATAATCGATGGATGGGAATTTTGAAAAATACATTCTACTTAATTTGTTTGTTATTTGGATAATATATATTTAAAATTATATTTGTTGCTATTTATTTTTTATTTTAAACAAATGTAATTTTCATGTAATTTTAAAATATCTTTTAACATTTTTACTACTCATCCAATTTTGCAAACAAGAATTAGAAGAAAAATTATTATTTTTTTAAATTAAAAAATACAAGATACTTTTTATTATTATTTTTTTAATATTGAAATAAATTTTTCTATTATGCGTTAGAATTTGTCTGAGATAGCTTTTATTATATTAAGAGTTTAGACCATATACTCGAACTTAAAATTTTAGGTATCTTGATACGTAAATGTTATCTCTATAATTACCTGAACAAACAATTGCTCGAAATCTATTTAAATCGAAATTAAATACCTTAATTTTTAATGGAGGAATTACATACAAGTAAAAGAAAAAAAAAATCATTAACACATAAAGGAGTGTAAGTAGTGAGATGTAAATGGAAAAAATTATAAAAGTGTGAGTGTCTCTTGCACTCTCTTATATATTGATAATTTTTTATTTCCTCCCCACTTGTACATAGCTCTCCTTCTTATTCCACTACATCCCATCCCATCCCTTTCAACACGCATCCCGCGACTGGTGGCAAGAACAATAGCGGGTCCACTCACACTCTCATTCTGTCTTCTTCCCACTAAACCAACCCCCACTCACTCACTCTTAAGCTTCGTTTTGGCAGGCGTTATTTTAGCTAAATTAACTACTAAAAGATAAAACATGTCAATTTAATTAATATGATAAAATATTAAATTTAAATAATAATTATTTTATTTTTTTCTTTTATAGTTATCAAATCAATTATAAAAATAATCAAAATTTATTCTAAATATAATTTTTTTAGTCATACTAGTAAAAAGCAAAAGAAAAAAAAAACAAAATGAAAGCTTTAGGGAACTCCTATAATTGACAAAAATTTAAAAAGTAAAAAAAATTAAAAAGTCAAAATATTATAGCACTGCCATTTGGCTAGTGAGTTGGGTTGAATTGGGATTAAAATTGCACAAAAAAATAAAAAATAAAATAAGTTAAATAAAGAAAAAATTAATCTAAGGTCCCTCTCCCATTTTTCTGGGAAGTCGAATTTCTCTGGAAAGTCCAGAGAAAACTGGAGAAATTTGCAAATCAAAAAAATTTGTGTAAACTAGAAAAATTTGCAAATCATAGAAATTTGTGCAAATAAGAGAAATTTGTGCAAACCAGAGAAATTTGGAGAGAATTTCTCTGGAGAGTAGGAAGTCTAGAGAAATTCTCTGAATTGAAATTACTCTAGATTGATATGTGAGGGACCAGAGTTCCTGATTGGTCAAGTAATTGCTGCTACTGCTGGTGAGGCTATTGAGTATATATGTATGTATGTGGTTGGGTCTATGTTTATTGTTTGCGCAAATTGGAATTGCAGTAGATCATTCTATTAAAACATAGATAAATTTGTAACCATATTAGAAAAATTTGAAAACACAGAGAAAATTGTTGCTCAAGATTCAATAGTGAGTAAAATATGACTGTGTTCATGAGCTTGAGTGGTGTATTTCCATACCTAAACCAGAGAAATTCTCTTATCTATTTTTTTTGTTTTTTGTTCAATTTTCTCTGGTTTAATAAAAAACACGAATTTTCTCTACACAATTTTCTTTGAATAGAGCAACACAAAGCCACATACATTTTCTCTAACACAATTTCTCTGAATAGAGCCACACAAAGCCGCACAAATTTTTTGTACATAATTTTCTCTGGATAGAGCCACACAAAGCTACACAAATTTTCTTTAACACAATTTTCTCTAGATAGAGTCATACAAAGCCACACAAATTTTCTCTAACACAATTTTCTCTAGATAGAGTCACACAAAGCCACACAAATTTTCTCTACACAATTTTCTCTGGATTGAGTCACACAAATTCGACTAAAGAAATTCTCTATGAACCAGAATTTCTCTGTGAAGTCCAGAGAAAATTCGACTAGAGCAATTCTCTGTAAACCAAAAATGCTCTGCGAAGTCCAGAGAAAATTATAATTTTCTCTGGATCGATATTGAGGGACTTAGACATTATGAAAACATTAAGTGCCTTTCATGCTATAAAATCTTAATATCAAGGACTTTAAAAAAAAATCCCCTTAAATAAATTAATAAGATATAATGTCACATCAAAATCATAATAATTTTATTTTTTCTCTCACAAGAAAATTAAAAAATTCTTCTCAAACGAAACTAATTTAGCCCAGCTAAATTAGCTAAAAAATTGTTCCCAAACAAACTCACAAAAAGTTAAAAATTCTATTTTCTCTCTAATTTTTACGATTTTTTGAATAAAAAATTAAAAAATCATACTAAATATATTTTTTTTACATCAACAAAAAATAAATAAAAAATTGCTAAAATAATCTATTATCAAACCCCTTTAGACCATGTTTGTTTGGCCTCTTAGAAGAGAAGATTAGATTAGCAATCCGTCACACCTATCAAAGCATGTTTGGTTGAGCTAAAATGTTAGGTAATGTTTGTTTTGAGGGATTAAGCTACGAGATTGGACTAATAGTTTATCCGGACTACTAGTCCGTTGTTTGGTTCCAAAATTTTTGCACCGGACTATTAGGGGTTGTTTGGGGTGTCTTAAATAAGTGTACTTTTTAATTTTTTTGACTAAAAAGCTGAGGAAAAAATATGGTTGTTTGGGATAATTTTTTGACTTTTTTACGAAAAAATGTGTATTAAAAATTTGTATAAATTAGTATGTAGGATTAGTGTATAGGAAAGATTGGAATAAAATAGGTTGTACGGTGGGATGAGGTAAGGACAACGTGCAGTGTATAGGCTAAGATATGATTCCCCCATTTTCGGGCATTGAATGGACGATGTTGTTCGATCCGTAGGGGCCTACCATAGGTCCCGTTTTACTAATTGGAACCATTAATGTGTAGAACTCGTCGAGTACTATATACTTGTAAAAAATCATATTGATCGGATATCGATAGCTATCTGATCAGATTAATTTTTTTTCAACCGTTAACTATAGCACCATCCATTTTTTATACAAAATTGATTTGATCATATAGTTAGCAATATCCGATCAATGTAATTTTTTACAAGCATATAATACTCGACCAGTTATACATATTGAACAGTTCAGATTATCAAAACGGGATCCGTGATGGGCCCTCACAGACCGAGCAGTACCGTGTTGTTTATGCACACTGCCTGTGCAATTTTTCCCAAAAAGTCAACTCGTGCTTGTGGAACGTCAGTTCAGTTTGTAATAATTTGGAGTACTTACGTATAGATCCTAATAGGTGGATTTATTGTCTAATAGGTCCTATAAGAAAAATTTGTTATAAAAAAAGTCACTAATTGTTAATTTTAGCAACAATTTATAAAAATCATGACCAAAAAAAAGTCACTAATTGTCAATTTTTAAAGACAAACATAAAAAATTGTTATAAAAAAATTATTTTTAGCAACAATTTTACAAAGACTTACTTTTAATAGGACTTGATGGGAATTAAGTCCAACTATTAGGACCTATTTGTAGTTTACCCTAATAATTTTGTGTGAAATTAATTTTTTTTATATTTTTTTTGATGAATAGTGATAACTTTTTAACTTTTTTAGTAACATTTTAACTTTTTAGATTATTTTAAGGATCCTAAACCAGGCCTTAGTTTCAAATCTGTTAGACTATTGTATCCCATGGAGGGTGAGACAAAAATAGGGAAATAAGGGGGATATGAGATTAAGTGATGAAATTACCATTTTGACCCTCTACTATTTAATTATGTATTATATTTAGTAAAAATTCAATAAAATTTAAATGTCTTAATTTAAAAATAAAATAATTTTATTTAATTTTTATTGATGTTTTATTTTAAAATTTTGTTAATATTTTATTTAATTTCATTATTTGAATTTTAATAGATGTTTTATTTAATTTCGTTATTTAATTATTATTATTTTTTAGAATAAATTTATTTAAAATTTTAATTAAAAAAATAACATATATTTTTATTGATATTTTATTTATTTAATTTTTTAAAAATAAATTTATTTAATTGTGTAAAAAATAAAATAAAATAATTTTTTATTTAATCTAACTAAAAATAATTAAAATATTAAGCATATGTTTAATATATCTATTACTTAGTAAATAATTAAAAAGGGTAAAATAATCATTTGAACATTTATTTTTTCTCCATAATATCCTAAACAAACATATGATTCATATCCTATCTAAAATAGTTATTTCTCGACCTCTAATCCCCATGACTAAACAAACATGGGATACAAATCCAATTCAATCAAATAGTCTGGGAATAATGTATCCCAGAATTAACAGTACGGTGAATACCAATCTCTCCTTATCCAATCCGTCCAAACAAACACACCATTATACGAACATTAGTCCAATTGGACTACCAATCCCTTCAAAAGGTGGGATTAGCATATCCATTGCAAAGTTGGGATTGGTAATTCAATCTCTTTCAATTAAAATATTTTAATTTTTTTTCAAATAATTTATTTGTGAAATAAAAATTTTAAAAACATTATTACCGAAGATTAAGTATATTATTTTTTTTTTACTAAAAAAAATATGATCCTTTTTTTTAAAAAATATTTAATAAATTTTTAAGCAAAATTTATATTTTTTAAGTGTCACTAAATTAAGTGTACTTAAAAAGTAATTATAATATTAAAAAAAATATTATTTTTATATATTAATACTATTTATATATTATCATTCCAGTTATGTATAAACAAACAATTCTATTTATATTATTACTAATCCGCTTACATATAAATAATTTCTATTTATATTATTATTGATCCGCTTACATATAAATAAATATTTTTTATCTTATTTATCCAATTTAATACTACTATAGTAAGGAATCGTTTGGTAATGTTGGTTTTTTTTTATTTTTTTAGCATGAAACTTTTTTGTTTATTTGATTTTCTTGTTTAACTTTTTTGCATTGCAATGACAAAATTACCCTCAATTTGAAAATGATACTTTTTTAACTTTTTGTTTGTATATAGGTTAGTTTAGTAATTTTGTATCCTAAATTAAGTGTTTTATTATTTTGTAATTTTTTGAACTTTTTTTTTTTTTTTTTTTTTTTTTTTTTTTTGTCTTTATATATGTTTATTTAGTCTTAATATGAAAATCAAACTAAGGCGCTTTGAAAAAATAAAAAATGTTTGAGAGCCACAAAAATAGTGGTTTAAATGGCTCAAAATTGTCAAAACGACGTCGTTTTGGTAGATTTTGCGCCCAAAACGACGTCGTTTTGACAGTTTTAAGCCATTTGAACCACTATTTTTGTGACCATCTACCGTTACTGTGAAAAAATAGTTAAAAGTTACAGTTTAATTTTTTTTTTTTTTTTATAAAAGAGAGAAGTGAGTTAAAAAGCATACGAAGCCAAACAAACTTCATATTATTTCTCTGGCTTCGGATCCTCTGCCGCCTCCCCCCTCCCTCCCTCCCTCTCTCTCTGTCTCTCTCTCTCTCTCTCAACTGTGTTAAAGCAAGCAGCAGTGACAGTTCTCACATACCCTATCCGCCATGGCACGTCCATTCCTTGTCTTGCTATTCCTCTCATCTCTCTCCTCATTCCTCACTCCCTCACACTCCCAACAACAACAACAACAACTCACTCTCAACTACTACCAAAACTCATGCCCCAAATTTGATCAAATCATGCAAGACACCATCACCACCAAGCAGATCACTTCCCCCACCACAGCCGCCGCCACTCTCCGCCTCTTCTTCCACGACTGCTTCATCGGCGGCTGCGACGCTTCCGTTCTCGTCTCCTCCACCCCTTTCAACAAGGCCGAGCGTGACGCCGACATCAACCTCTCCCTCCCCGGCGACGCCTTCGACCTCGTCGTCCGCGCCAAGACCGCCCTTGAGCTCTCCTGCCCCTCCGTCGTCTCTTGCTCCGACATCCTCGCCGTCGCTGCTCGCGATCTCGTCACCATGATGGGTGGCCCTTATTACACCGTCAAGTTAGGCCGCAGAGATGGGTTGCTCTCCAAATCTTCTCTAGTTGAAGGTAATCTTCCCAGACCCACCATGTCCATGACTCATCTTATCAAGCTTTTCGCCTCCAATGGCTTCACTCTCTCTGAAATGGTGGCCTTAAGTGGCGCTCATACAATTGGGTTTTCGCACTGCAATGAATTTAGCGCCAACATCTACAATTACAGCAAGAATTCGCAGTCCGATCACAGTTACAACCCTCGATACGCTGACGGATTGAGAAAAGCTTGTGCCGATTACCACAAAAACCCAACATTGTCGGTGTCTAATGATATCATGACTCCGAACAAATTCGACAACATGTATTTCCAGAACTTGCCAAAGGGGTTGGGGCTTCTGTCTTCAGATCGCGGATTGTATTCGGATCCGAGGACTAGGCCTTATGTGGAGATGTACGCAGCGAACCAAAATGCGTTCTTTGAGGCATTTAGTCGAGCAATGGAGAAGCTAAGCCTTCACGGTGTCAAGACTGGGCGGGAAGGAGAGATTAGACGCAGGTGTGATGCATTTAATTAGATTACAACTTTCATGGGTTGATGATGATTAGATCGATTGCTTTTAATTATATTTTTTTCTGAGTTGATAATTTGTATACAATAATATAATTATATGTCTCATCAAGCTTGAAATTGAGCTTAGTATACTTAATTATTTCTTATATTCTAAAATACGTTATGGTGGTTCAATTCCATATGTAGAGCTTTGTTCTTTATCCTCTCTAATGGTCCCGATGTCTTTCTTGGGTTTTGTTGGAAATTGAAGTAATTAAGTTAAGAGGTGATTTTTCTCTGTTGTTTATAGTAATGATTATAGATGTTATGGGAAAGTGAGTTTTGTATTTTGTTATAAGTTGAAATAAAATTAAAAGAGAAAAAGTAATGCTAGAGATCTCAAATATTCTACTAAAAATTTTATTAAATGTCTCACATGGGTGTGAGACCCACACAATATGAGTCTCATGTAAGTCTCACACCCATGTGAGACATCTGATAAAATTTTTAATAGAATTTTTGGAGCTTTTAATATTTTTGAATGAGAAATTTATGGAAAAGGATTGAAAAGATGCTTTGGGTTTTGGATTTTTCATATGGGAACCGTGTATCTTTTCATTTACTGATGATAATAGATGAATTGTTTAATGGCGTCACTTGAAATTTTGTCCCTTGTTTTGGAGTCTTTGTCAATGAATAGGACGAGACCTTTCCAGTGGCATGGCAACCTCCAACTCATGCCACATTATCACTTCCAGCTGAAAAGCTCACAGATTTTTTTTAAAAAAATTCTACTTATCATATGCTTCAATTTTTTTAAAATTTAATTAAATAAGGTCTAAATTTGATATTTTAGTCTAAGATTAAACCGCTATTAATCACTTAACATGCTAACATTAATGTGTTATTTTATAATAATAACAATAAATGTTATTAGCCCTCTATTTTTTATTATTCCCAATGCACAGTCTTAAAAGATAACGAGATATAAAGTACAGGTAACATTTTTGTTTTTTTCATCACATTATTGTATTTTAGAAAAAAGGCAAGATAAGAAGTGCATGTAACATAAATAGTAAATTTGAGTGTCTTAGAAGTAGGTTGGCTTTTTGGCTTTTTGATTTTTTTGGCTATTTTAACCTGGGCTAAAAAGCTTGGTTTGGGAAGGGTTTTTTGGCTTTTTGGCTTTTTTGACTTTTTTTGTGAGAGAAGTTGAGTGTTGTGGGTGTGGCCATTGGTGTGTGTGTCATTGTGTGGGTTGGCTTTGGTTGGTAGTAGAAACGCCATAAAAAAAAAAAAAAAAAAAAAAAAAAAAAAAAAATCACCATAGCAGGATGCTGCCAGATTGTATCAATGTCATCAGTCTCCAACAAGACTAAATTCACTGTCAAACTGACCGACCTAGGCCCCATCCGCCAGAGCTTCTGAAATAATATTCTTGCTGGAGCGCAGCAGCATGGATGATGATTTGTAATTATTATGCAAAATAATAGAGTGTTTCAGATGAATTAAATTTACTCTGTACTTGGTTGATTCATATACAAATTAACATCTATTTTTCATAGGTAACTCTATAACTGGACTGTTGTATGATATGTTAATCAAGACTGATACAAAATCAGATTTGTAAAGGAGGGTGTTCAAGAGATTTTACTAACCAATGTAGGACCATAACAAAGATGCAGAGACTTAAAAAATGATAAAGGAAATGAATATTAAGCACTACTTACAGGCGTTGGCATCTGGAGTAGTACTAGTTGTTCAGCAACTGCTTCACCGATCCTGGAGGGTATATTTCATTATCTGCAAATCTGCTGATTTGAATGCCACATCCTTTGCCAAGTGATCGATACATGATGCAGACTCCACTCCCAATCTCTGGCCAAAGCCATTTGAATCCCCAGAATCACATCATAGTTCGGATGGTGTGCCACAGGTCCCTCCAGCAATTGACACCATGATCGAACTAGAATATGTAACGCAATACATAGAATATTAGAAACCATGCTGAGATTTCTCATTTTGCACCAATTTTCTTCTGCCCCCCAAAAAAAAAGTGCCCCAAACAAAACCTTTTCTGAGGCCTTGGTGCCAACAACTCCCCAACTTTAACACTCCTACAGCTTCTTGTCCCGTCTTCCTAAGCAGGAAACAGTCATTGTGAATGCTTTGTTGTGCTTCATTAAAATAAGTTTCCAAACTACCGTAAAAATTGGAAGTTCTGCTTACTACTTGAGCAAGAATTGCAGACCGCCAAGGCAAATCTGCCATTATTTGCCAACCGAACCGCCGGTTTTCGATAAGAAAAATGGCAAATTCTAGTGACACTTTTATCAATCCGCCACCCGCCATACGGTTTCTATTTTTCTCTCAAACCGCACCGACCCGCACCGCGCACACCCCTAGGCATCTGGAGTAGTACTAGTTGTTCAGCAACTGCTTCACCGATCCTGGAGGGTATATTTCATTATCTGCAAATCAGCTGATTTGAATGCCACATCCTTTGCCAAGTGATCGATACATGATGCAGACTCCACTCCCAATCTCTGGCCAAAGCCATTTGAATCCCCAAAATCACATCATAGTTCGGATGATGTGCCACAGGTCCCTCCAGCAATTGACACCATGATCGAACTAGAATATGTAACGCATTACATAGAATATTAGAAACCATGCTGAGATTTCTCATTTTGCACCAATTTTCTTCTGCCCAAAAAACCAACAATGATTCATCCCTTTTTTCCCCCACCCCCTTTGACCCCCTCTCTCTCTCTCATTGGTTACATTTTCTTTTTCTTTTTCTTTTTTTTCCTGCTCCTCCAATCACCACCCGCCACGTGACAAAGGGGATAACCCCCAAAAGAGGGTCCCAAGCATTATTCCCAAAAAAAAAAGGCGCCCCAAACAAAACCTTTTCTGAGGCCTTGGTGCCAACAACTCCCCAACTTAACACTCCTATAGCTTCTTGTCCTATCTTCCTAAGCAGGTAAAAGTCATTGTGAATGTTTTGTTGTGCTTCATTAAAATAAGTTTCCAAACTACTATAAAAATTGAAAGTTCTGCTCACTACTTGAGCAAGAATTGCAGAGGTTTGAGAAAGGGGCAAACACAAAAAATACACATTGACATAAAAAGCCAGTCACTTTACTTTTATTTTATTTTTATTTTTATTTTTATTTTCCTGGGTAAGTAACAGAAAAATGCAATAGTTAGTGAATTAAAATGCCATGAACTGAAGAGAAACAGCAACTATGCAAGCTCCAAACAAAGCATTTCTTCTTATTTGAGAAAAGAAAATCAAACCATCCGATTTAAGCTTTAATCAAAAGGTAACTCTCCCAAAATCATCCATATTTACATTGTCACGAGACCAAACTTCATTACCCAACAATAAGCCCATTGTGTCATTAGTGAACATGAGACAAGAACAACCCTAACGAGAAAACAACTAATTTAAACAAATAAGCCAAACCAACCACGCATTTATGTAAAACCCACCACAAGCCCAACTAATTTAAACAGCTTCAAAATGGCTCAAACTACCGCCGAGTTAAAATGTCCGACTCACCTCCCCCGAGTTGAGTAACTCTTCCCAATCCACCTCCTCCTCTCCATCCCTCCCTTTCATCGTTTCCAAAATCCGCCCCGCCTTCTCCCTTGCCCGCTCACTCCCCACTTGCTCCACCTTCCTCAACACCTCCTCCGCCCCAGCCTCCTTTGCCAGCCCCTTGAACCTCAACCCTCCGAGACTCAACCCATACAATGCCACCACGCAACTATCCCGAGTTGACTCGGATTCAAACTTGTCCCGACTCAACATCCCCACAAAACACTCCACCGCACCCGAATCCAGCATGGCCGCTCTCCCCTCCCCACAGAGGGCCAAATTACATAGTATCAACATTGCCCGGCCCGTCATATGACCCGATCTCACCATACCCAGTAAAGCCTGAACCGAGCCGAGTTTGACCATCTTAGACCGGTTACTCCGAACGATTGAGAGGTGGTACAAGGCCAGGGCCGAGTCTTGCCTGGCTCGCTCTGAGTCCGATCGGAGCGCGTGGAGAAGCGGTGGCAACGCGCCGAGCACTCCGATGGCGGTCTTGTTCTGATCATCAAGGGCTAGGCTGAAGAGTGCACCGGCAGCGTGATCCTGCGCCTCAGGGAATCCCCCCTTCAGAACGTCGATCAAGGGTGGGACTATCCCCGACCGTACGATCTTCACCTTGTTTTGATTCTCTAAGGACAGGTTCACCAAAACAGCTACGGCATTCACCTGAAGGGTCGAGTATCTGGATACGATGAGAGATCGGAGGGCTGAGAGCAACCGAGGAGAGCAGAGTTGAACCCTGGAGTCTTCTCTGGTTCTCGAGATCCTTCGCAGTGACATCACAGCCTCCTCTTGTTCAAACACCTGTGAACTGTTTAGCCTACTGATAAGATCGTCCTCTTCGGCCAAATTAGGGATTAGGGTTTCGATATCGGAGGAGGACGACGATGAATAGCAAGAGGGGCGGACGGTGAGAGGGACGGGAGTGGTGGGACCGGAGGTTGCGGCTGGGGGGGCCACCGATTGCTCCGAACTCGAACTGAGTTGACTCGGAGGCCGAGTCAACCCGGACTTGACAGCATTGTTTTCTTGGGATTGAGAGGCCATTAGAGTGCGGATGATCTTCTCTGCAGAGATGGAATCAATGGGTTTGGGGTGGTCTACGAGGTAGGAGTTGCACCAGTTGAGAATGGTGGATTTGAGAGCGAGATTGGGGATAAGGGTGGAGAAATCGGGGGTAGAGCCGTCGGAGAGAATGGGTTTGAATCGAAGAGTCTTGCACGCATGAACGCAATTGCGATCGAAGGTATGGCCAGAGGAGACGATAACAGGATCGGCCATGAGAGAGCCAGAAAGTGGGCAAGTGAACTCAGTTGGGGGTTTCTTTTTGATGAGGGATGGAAACCGGTGAAAGGAAATCTTCTTCCACCTGTGTTTGCCAGTGCCCATGTATTTTTTAATTGTCTGTTTTCTATCCCAAAACCTTTGAAATACTAGGCTCGAGCTTTAACGTAGAAAGGGTTTATGGGGATTCTGATGAACTCCATAAGTTGAGGATAGATTGGAGATGTGGTGTTGTTGGGAGCAACGGAAAACATGACCAAGTATCGGCGAACAAAATGTGAGTTGGTTATAGTAGTAGTAGTAGCAGCAGCAGCAGTAGTAGTAGGGCAAGTGAGCGAATGTGGTTGATGAACAAATGCTCGTCACCATAGACCAGGTCCTCTCCGAGGGGAGAGAGAGAGACAGAGAGAGATATGATGAAACGATTTTGGTAGTGTGAGAATCTGAGTAAAGGTTGTTTGGGAAATAGATTGGTTTTTTGATTTTTTAATTATTTTTATTTGGGATTAAAAAATTTGAATTGGGAAAATTTTTTGATTTTTTTAAAAGAAAGTATGTAATGATTATGAATTAGATATAATATTTTATTTTATTAAGTTAAAAAATTTATTTTATATTTTATGACTAAAATAACAAAAAAAAAATATTATTTGGTAACGTTTACGTTTTCAGATTATATTTACAAAAAATTTATAAATTGGTTTTTGTTTATTTTTAGAAAAACATAAACTATAAATGCGTTTGATAATTGACAAAATATTTTTAAAAAATTTAAAATATAAAAAAGAGTGAGAAATGACAAGTAGTGGCAAGTGGCAGCGAAAGACGGTGGTGGAAAGTGGTAACGGTGGGTGGTGGGTAGCTGGGGGTGGTGGGTGGTAGCGAGTGGGTGGCGGTGGCGGGTGGTGGTGACAGGTGGGTAGCGGATGGCGGGTGATGGTGGATGGTGGCGGGTGGTGGTGATGGGTAGGTGACGATGGCAGGTGGTGGGTGGTAGCGAGAGGGTGGTGGTGGTGGTGGTGGTGGTGGTGGTAGTGGTGGGTGGCATGAGGTGTCGTTACCGGATGAAATTTCAGCGCAGGAGGAAGGGATTGATTAGTCCAATGTGGCCGAACTAGTTGATTAATAGGCCATAGGCGCTTGGCCTGTGAAATGGGTGGAGCCTTGCGGGAATGAAATCCAAGCCTAAGTTGCTGAAGCAGGGTCGTCATTCTTGAAGAGGGAATTATTCTAGTCTAATCTAGATGAGTTCTTGGATGACTCAAAGGAGCCACTAAAGATGGATGAGTGGTTAAAGTAGATGATGAAGACATTTGAGATACTTGGTATCGAAGACGATGGGCTGAGAGTGAGCTTGGCATCCTTCCAGCTGAAGAGAGATATGGGTCAGTGGTGGAAGTATGCGCGTGGGCGCATTGGAGTGACTTGGGAGGCCTTTGTCAACACCTTCCAAGAAAAGTTCTTGCCTCCCACTGCTAGGGAGAAGTTGAGGGATCAGTTTCTGAAGCTCAAGTAACTTGGTTTGCCAGTAGTCAAGTTTGAGGCAGCTTTTACTAGCCTCTCTAGATTTTCACCAAAACTCATGGTGACTGAGGAATGCCATTGTATTGAGTTCAAGAAGAGATTGAGGACCAGGCTTTTTTTCAAAGTAGTTGGGTCGATGATTAGAGACTACGAACACCTTGTGAGGGCGGCGGCTCATCTGGAGACCATAGTTCAGGCAGAGGAGAAGTAGATGAAGGACTCTAGGAGAAGTTAGGAGGTTCATGGGGGTAGTCGGGACAGTAAGAGGCAGAGGGATCCCACCCCACAATAGTCCTAGGCTATACAGCTTTGGTCCACCTTTCTTGTGTCAAGTTCGGGTTCAGGGAGAGGTAATCAGGGAGGCTTTTCTTGTTTTAAGTGCGGCCAGTTGGGTCACAAGTCTCCAGCTTTCCTGCAGAAAGGAGGAGGGCAACAATCTGCACCATCTTCAGCTCGTTCTTAGAGTCCCCCTTCCGCCGAAAGCCTGTGCCGTAGCTTACCTTGTTCAGGGTGAGGGGGCTCTGTTCCGACGGGGAGGTGTTGTCGTAATAAATGCTGTGATGGGCTGCATTAATGGTGATGTGTTGTGGCAATAACTCTACAGATCTTTGTCTGCTGATGTGGCCTGTGTTTCACCTGCCATGTGCCCGAATGTCATTGGCCCTCCATGCCCAGATGGCCTCCAACTGTCCTGGGCTTTGCCAGTTGGGTTATGCTATGGGTCTCAAGCGATGGGTTTGGGGTTGTTTGCTGTGGGCTGTAAGCCTTATGGGCCTATCCATGTCAGTAGTCCCCCATTTCCGAGTGCAGCTTTAGTTTAACGAAGGGAATAGTAATAAGGAAGAGAAGTGCAAACCGAGTGGAGAGGCCGACCGTTAGGCGTGCCGACTGCAAGGGTGGCCGAGCGGGAGGGGTCGACCGTTAGGCGTGCCGACCACAAGGGTGGCCAAGCGAGGGGAGCTGACCGTAAGGGTGGCCAAGCGAGAGGGGTCGACCGTAGGCGTGCCGACCGTAAGGGTGGCCGAGCGGGGGGAGCTGACCGTGAGGGTGGCGGAGCGGGAGGGGTCGACCGTGAAGCGGGCCGACCGTGAGGGTGGCCGAGCGGGAGGGGTCGACCGTTAGACGTGCCGACCGCAAGGGTGGCCGAGCGGGAAGGGTCGACCGTGAGGCGTGCCGACCAGGACGGCGCGGGGCTCAAAAAATGGGGGGCGTGCCATGTAATGATGTGAAATGGAAAGGACAAGGTAAGGGGAGGGGACAGTGCATCGTGGCCATACACGTGGCAATATCGTGGGGGAAGTGAAGCGTTGGAGCAGAAATGAAACGATAGGTCACGAGGGGGGTTTTGAAAAGGTGGTTTTGGCAGTTGATTTGAAAGGTTTTTAAACGGGCGAAAATTAATGTGGATCCATGGAATACGGGTAAACCGTGGGTTTTTGGTATAATTCGTTTCACCTACCTTTTTACAAAACTCAAAATACCCAAGTGTTAATTCCTTTATTGCGCACGACACACCTATGTAACATTTTCTCAACTTCCTTTCTCCTGCGTCAAAAGTGATTCGTAAGCAAACCCTAGAAATAGCACAAGAAGAAGTGGTGAATGTGAGGGTGGACCCTCTAGGAGACAATGATGCAGAGAAGCTAGCAGCGCGATATAGGACGGAGACACGAATGGTGGGGGTGGGGGAACCGGTGGGACAAGCGCGGGCGTTGGCCCTGATATTGGCTCCAAGGCCAATAAGCCAGGTAGAACCGGATCAGTGGCACACTAAGGCTGACAAATCCACAATTACTGCGGCGGATTTGGAGGCTATCAGGGAAAAATACCAGATTCCGGCTGAGGTGGAGTTATTGCTGCCAACATCAAGGGAAAGGCCGTCTGATGCCAGGCTAAGGGAGTTTTCCCTTTACGAGGAGGCGCTAAAAGGTGGGTTGAGGTTGCCACTGCCCCAAGTGGTGGTTGACGTACTGAACCGTCTGGCGGTAGCGCCGGGGCAATTGATGCCCAATGCATGGAAGATTCTGCTGGTCTGTGCTAGCGCGTGGCCCAAGGCGAATGGAGGGGAAGCCATGGTGGTAGACGAGTTCTTTTCCTGTTATAAGGCTTCGGGGCAACAAGAGACGTGGGTCACCCTTCAGGCAGTGATGGGGAGGGGATTGGTGGCGGGGCTGTCGACATCGATCAAGGGGTGGCGGCCACGGTGGTTCTACGTGTCTGCCAATGGGGGATTGGGAGTGCGCACCATCTGGAAGGTGCCCATTAGGTCGATGGAGTCAAGACTGGGGGCAGCGGCGGAAGAGAGGGTGAAGGAGTGGAGGGAGAGAGAGAAGGCCAAATGGGACGAGCTTATTCAACCGTCCGCATTGTTTGAGGCAGGGTTGGGACCGCAGCCAAGGGGTGGGGACCTCGACCGAGCAGAATTGGAGGCGAGAAGAGAAGTTCAGGAGGCAGAGGATCAGGCCATACTTGCCAAGGCCACGAAGTTGAAGGAAACGCGAGGAGACCGACCACCTCAACCGATCGCGCGGGAAAGGATCCGACCACGCCCAAGGCCGCTGGGGGGGAAGGCCTTAAGCAGTTTTGAGCCACGACCGCCCCTAGTAGATCCTGTAAAAGAACAGGTCAGAAAGAAGGGGGAGGCTCTGAAGAAGAAGAAGAAGAAGAGGAGTGTCCCAGAGGGAGCTGCAGATGAGCCTGGGGCCAAGAGGGCTAAGGTGGCCCCAGCTGAGGTGGAGGTCCCTGTGGCCAAGGATAACCCAGAGGTGGTGGAGGTCACCCCAACACTGGAGGTTGTGGAGACTGCCCCAACAGTGCAAGTAGGAGTTGGGTTGACTGAGGTTGCGCCGAGCGGGAGGGAGCAGACCCAAAAGGGCCCTGCCCCCCAAGAAGGAGGGGTCCGTTTGGCCACGGCAATCTATCACGCTCGCGCGGTAGTTGGAAGGTTGGAGGGAGAAGAAGGTCCAGCCAGGGCGGGGACAGACCGCTTGGTGAAGATTGTGGAGGAGACAGCCCTGCGCTCGGCATCGGGATTCAATAAGGCTGACCTGCTGAGGGGGTTATGCTCCGCCCAAATGGAGGTAACCATCTTGGCAGGGGCCCTTCTAAGGAAAGTAGGGGCTGCCAAGCTAAAGGCTGAAGAGGCCAAGGCCCAGTTGGCCAAGTTGAAGAAGGAGAGTGCCGACTGGAAGACTGCCCATGCTGAGCTGCAAGCAGTCAAATTGGAGCTGGAGGACACACGCCGTAAGGTCGTGTCGCTCGAGTTCCAACTGGCTAGCGAACAGAAAAAGTTGGAGGAGTCTGAAAGAGCCTGCGCCGTTGCGATCGAGCGGCATGAAGAGGCCATGAGCAGCAATGAAGAGCTGGTCAGGCAAAAAGATGAGGCAGATGCCAGAATTGGAGATCTGTTGAAGGAGTTGGAGGATGAGCGCGTCAAAGCAGAGGAGGAGAAGGGAGGCTCGCGAGGGAGTTGGAAACAGAGAAGACGAAGGCGATGGCGGAGATGGAGAGCCTGAGGAAGGGAATGGAAGAGGAAAGGGCGACGGCGGCTGCTGAAAGGGGGGCCCTGCAGAGAGAGCTGGACGAAGAGAGGGCGAAGGCAGCTTTTGAGAGGGCGGCCTACCCTGATCTGTGCGTTGCAGCAGTGGAGCAATACAAAGGGTCTCCCGAATTTCAGATGGCGGTAGATGCCGCAGTCGCCAGGAATCTGGCTGGGCAAGAATCTGGGGGGGTGGGCCCATCAAGGACGACTGCTGGAGGTAGGACAGAGGCAGAAGTTATTGAGAGCTTCCAACAGTCAGACTTCTACAAGTACGAAATGGCTGAGTTCTGGGACAGCGGTTGGAAGATGTTCAAACGCAGAGCTGAAGAGCTGTTCACAGACTTGGACTTGAGTAGTGTAACGATTGGTGAAGATGATG